CCACAGCTGGCGTGGGCTGCTCCTCCTCCGCCCCTGCTGCCGCGGTCCAGCGCCGGCCCACTTCTTCCATGGGTGCCAGGGCTCGGTGGGCACGGGCCATCGCCTTTGGGGGGACCCCACATTCCTGAAACACCTGTGGCACAGGGATGCCCCACAGGATGAAACTGGCACTGAATCTCCATTCCAACACCTAAATCTCCCGATAGCCCTGTTTCCACCTACAGTGCCTCTCTGACCCCCAGCCCTGTCTCACAATCCCAGGCCACTGCCTCCATCCTTCCCTCTCCTGTACCAGAGCTGACCCCCATACCACCCGGCCCAGCCCCCAGGCGGACACTCCCACGCTCCTCAAGGCTCCTGTACCTGGGTGGACACTCCTACACTGTTTTCCTGCAGGTACATCAAACCTTCTGAGATCTTCACCCCAATGGCCTGAGCTGCCAGTTCAAAGGAAAAAGGGCCCTGGATCTTCTCAGCCAGGAGCAGGAGACCATCTTGAAGGAGGGGGAGAAAGCCAAGGGTGAAATGGGGGGGGGGGGTAAGGGGGTGGAACAGCAGGAAGGTACTCATTAAACTAGGAAGTTCCCACAAATCATGACCCAGACAGCAAAGTGTCAGATGGGGAGACTCAAGATCTCTACCACTCCCTCCCCCCTCGATATGGCTTAAAAATCCCTCCCAGTCCATCCCACTCACCCTTACAGGGACCAGCTTCTCAGGCTTTCCTGAGTCCTCACCCAGATAGGCCCCCCAGTCAGGGTCCAGTCCCCGGCTGCTGAGGCAGCCATGGGCCACGTTGAGGCAGAAGCCCCGGCAAGGCGGCAGCAGGGGGACCCCGCGACAAAAGGGGCAGCCAGTCAGACGCATTACAGCCCGCCTACAGCCTTCGGACATGGGGACCTGGGGGCAGAGAGCCGGGCTATGTGATCCACAAATACTAAGGCTGCCCTCAGCCACGCTTTGTGCTGTGCATGGAGAAACCAAATACCCCACCCTACCTTCCCATGCCCCATATGGAGAACCGCTGTGAATGGCTAGGGTTGGTGACCCCATGTAGCAGCAGGTGAGACCCCAAAAGACTGTGGAGGGAAGTTCCTCGGGGCCAGGTTGTAGATATTGCTTTTGGGGAAGGATGGAACAGTGGGGTCTGAGAAAAGGTTTAAGGACAAGAGTGGGGAAGGATGAAACTGAGGATGGAAGAGGTAAGGCTGGAGGTCAGGGTGGTAGAAAGAGAGCCTTGAAGGCCAAGTCAGGAATTTGGCCTTCAGTAGCAGGAAAGGAAGAGCCAGATGAGTCATCACTGAGGCATCTGGAGGAAACTGGGGGGACCAGTACTCCCATTGCAGAATGTTATGGAGGTGAGCAGAACCCCAGAGGCTGACAGGAATATGAGTCATCAGAGGGCAGGAGAGGGTCAGAGGTGAGAGCAGATCATGAATCATGACACCAGGGAGACTTCCCTTTGGCCCACCTCCTTCCTGGTTCACCCTGGGGTTCCAGGGCCTCAAGGCTAATGTGGGAAAGCTCCACGTCTCTCCTGCCAGCTGGCATCTGACTCTTCCTCACGGGGCATCTCCTTTTCCCTCCCTGAGCCCCACCCGCACTCAAGCACCCTCTAACCTTAAGTGCTTCGCTGACCACATCTCTTCCAGTCTCCAAGCCCTGGATAAAGGCCCGGGCAGCCACCATGGCCCGGGTTATCTGGGGAGAAGAAAGAAGGTGAGAAAAACCATAGGGTTGTCCTGTCAGTCAAGATCGGGGCCAAGAGACTAAACCACTGGGATGAGCAGTGGGGAGTAGTTTGTGGAGTTATCTTTGGGTGGTTAGGATTATCAGGTGGTACAATAAGGCAGGTACAAGAGGCTCAAAGGAATCAAGTCAAGGTGAGCTGGGCTTGGGAAGAGATGGGAGGGATTGTTTTACAGGGCTTGGAGATAATGGGACTGTGCATCAGGACAAACACTGAACTTACAGCCAGAAGACCTGGGTGTGAGACACAGCTCTACCATTTACTGGCTGTGAGACCTTAACTTCTGGGAGGTTCAGTTTTCTCATCTGTAAAACAGGAACACTACCATCTACCTCCCAGAGTTACAATGGCAATTAAATGAGATACTATAAAATGAAAATCCTTCTCAAATACTAAGTGCCTAATTCACATTTAGTTGAACCAGAGGAAGTCAAGATATTAGAATGAGGAAAGAGTTGGCAGAAAGGGGGCTGGGGGGCAAGAGTAGGTGAGTGGGTCAGGGATGTGTGAAATTTCAGCACAGGATGAGTGGGAGACATACAATTAAAGGAAATCAAGGAGCACTGGGTCAGGCAGGGGTCACTGGGGCTCTAGATAGTGACCACAAGGTCAGAGATGGCTGACATGCAGGATGTGGGGATCACCAGGTCAGGGGTGACTGGAGCATGAAGGGGTGGTCATTCAGTGGGAGGTGAATGCACAGTTTAGAGGTCACTAGGTCAGAGATGGCTGAAACTCAGGCCTTGAGACCCCTCACCTGCAGGCGGAGGCGACGGGGTGAGTCCCCGAAAGGCTTCAGAGAGTCATCAGCAGAGGAGGCAAGGCGAGTGAGGCAGAACAGGTATTCAGGGGAGAAGATGTACTGTGGGTGCAGCAGGGGGAACATTCTCTCCAGGACCTGCGTCCAGAAATCCACCAAGGCGTCATCTAACCCCTCACCAGACTTCTCATAGTAGTCCCGCAGCCGAGAGAACAGGCCGCTGAATAAGGGGGTCTGCTGGGAATACAGGCGGCCATAGGAGCGGTGGAAGAGCAGGGCCAGGGAGTGCTCAGCTGATGAGAGCATCTCCCGGAAAACCTCTGCAGCAAATGCAAAGAAAGCGGAGTGAGGTGGGATGAGGCCAGAGAAGGATGAGAAAGTGAAAGAGCAAAGGCAAGAAGAAAGTGGGGAGAGAAAAGACAACTGAGTTACAAACTGAGCAACTCTCAGACTTGGGCAGATTGAGAATGGGGTGGGGCAGGACCCTGGAGAGAGCCTGGGGTGGGGTTGGGGGGGCTAAGACAGGGCAGGGGTGCCTTAGGGATGGAGTGGGAAGTGAGGACAGGATACTTGCTGGGATCGTGAGCACAGCGAGGAGCTGTGTGGCCAGGTTTGGGGACCCCAAGTCCTCACCATCAAATGTTCTAAGCCGGGAAGCCAATGTGTGAACCAGGAAGGAGCCACTCTCCTCCACCAGGCCTCGGAAAGTAGCCTCAGTGTCCCAGGTCAGCCTCTCCTCTATTTCACTGGAACAGCAAGTATATTCTTGGGGACAGATCCGGAGGTGCTCACCTAGACAGAGGAGACACAAGGAATGGTGAGAAGTGATGTGGTAAAATTCCTTCCTTTTCCTGCCTATTCTCTGGGGGCCATCCCTCCTCTTTCACCTGCCTGGTTTCTTTTCTATTGTCTGTACACACATTCCTACTTGACCCTATTCCCACCCTATTGTCCCCTCACCCTTCCCCAGTCCACTGCCATTGGGCATGGGATCAAACAGTAACGGGCAAAATTAGTGATCAGAGGGCCCTCAGGCCACCGTCCCCAGCATGGCACCCCCCAGGCCTCTAAGGACTTACAGGACAGCTTGTATAGGAAGAATGGGGTTTGCAGGGGTGGGGTTACTTGGTAAACAAGAAAGTATTATAGAAGTGCTCTTAGAAACAGCGAGGAGAACAAATTGGGCTGTAAAGAAAGAACCAGAGAGATGGGTGCTACTTACTAGAAAGGGATTTGGGGTGGGGGTGGCGTAAAAGAGCTACTATGTGAACAGGAGGGTTATTGTGCTCCTGGTAAGGATGTTCAGGAGGAGAGGCGATATTACTATGGGATAAAAAGATTACAAAGGTCACTCTGAAAGGGGAGAGTTATTGTGGGACGGGGAGGACCCACCCCGACCCCTCCCTCGCCCCCAATTCTCTAGTCTTCCTCTATTCTCCTCACCTGAGATCAGGGCGGGAGGGAGTAGGCTTAAGCTATATCCCCGGGCCCCCAGAATTTGCCGGGTCTCCGTGCAACTCCGGATGACCTTTGCCTCGCTCCCGGGTCCAGGACCAGGACCGGGACACAGAGGTAGCAGCAGCAGCAGAAGAGTTCGCAGTGCGGACATAGCTGCTGCGACCCTGGAACAGCACAGGGGGTCCTACGGAGGGAAGAAGAGCTGCCCGAACTCGGGAAGCCGGTTCTCCGCTGCAGGACCGTCCCGCCGGCCAGAGAAAGAGCGCGACCTCGGGAAACTGAACCCCGAGGAGGATTGCTGGATCGGGCAGCATCAACCGAGACAATGGGAGAGGCGAGTCGGACAGCGGGAGGGGCCCAAGGCGGGGCCTTACCAATGATGGCAAGGAGCCGGCCTCAGGGGCGGGACCAAGGGAGAAACTAAACCAATGTAGTTGGGGGAGCTCGGCAGAGTAGCGGGATTAGGCTGAAATACGAAGGTTGGTGGGGGGCGTGGCCTTTCTCGGGGGCGTGACTATCCGGTTCGAAAGGCGGGGCCAGGGTAGACCCTCAGCCTATGGTAGTTGATAAGCCAGAATGAAGGGGCTACGACTGGTGTACTGCAAAGCCCCACCAATGGTGTGTGTGGCGGGTGCGTGTGCGTGCGTGCGTTTGTGTGTGCGTGCGTGTGTGTGTGTGTGTGTG